TGTTTTGAAGGCTAAGTTGCTTCCAAATGCTTAAAAATTAATCTAAACTGGAATTTGCGGGAGGAAATATGAACAAAGATGAACAAAGATGAACAAACCTAGGCTAAGGCTATGAACTAATCTGGAAAATCTGGGAAATCTGGAAACTATTGCTAAAATCTGGAAAATGCAGTCTGAAAGCTGAAAAACATGCTCTAGGCAGTCTGTGTGTGTGTTGGGCAGGTCTTGAACTGTTCTTTTCTCTCTGTTTTTGTTCCCTTTGATGCTGGTAACTTCCTCCATGATCTTCTCCATGATCTTCGGTACTGTTCCTCCATTTTCAGCACTGTTCCTTCATGATCTGGTAATGGGATTGCAGGTCTGGCAGTTATTTAATAGTTATCCGATTTTTATTTAACTTTATCTCCAACAACTTTAAAGATAACTACCTAAAAATCCTCAATTTCCCATTTTAAATCAAACTCAAACTACCAGATCCAATCTTATCTTCTGTCACCTAAGATTCAACCTCCTTGGAAATCCATCTGGGCCGTTAAATTGTAAGCCAGCCCAGCCCAAATCCAGCCTATTGATTTTCTTGATAATTAGGCTTTACCTTAATACGTGACCTTACCCTATTGGTTTATTTTAGGTGTAAACAATAGCACTTGCCCATTTTTTCTGTTTTAGTTTTATTCAATAATTTATGTGGGAGTGCTAGTACCAGGATTTATTTCAAACAGAAAGCGTAGTACTAGGTTCTTTGTTTAGCATAAATTTTGTCCTTATGTTTCTGGAATAGCATTTTCTAAACCATCTTTGCTTAATTATGTGGAGGTAAATAGCATGTCAAAATGATGCAGCGGTCAGTTAATAATGGAAGTTTAATTTATTAACTGCTTATGACTTTAGAAGGGTAATTAAGGAGAGATTAAACGGACATTGTTTGATATTCTGTGGCTTCCATGAATTACTTTCTACGACAGGGCTGTTGGAGGGGATGATGTTTCCCTAAAAATTACACACTGTGGAGTTTGTTATGCTGATGTTATTTGGACAAGAAATGGACATGGAAACTTAAGATATCCTTTGGTGCCTGGGTATGATATGCCTACTTGTCAGTTTCAATTTTGTAAAAAAAATTATTTAGTTGATATATCTATACTTATCACTTCCATACCAGACATGAAATTGTTGGAATAGTTAAAGAGGTTGGTTCCAACGTTCGCGGCTTTAAAGTTGGTGATCATGTTGGAGTCGGAACCATTGTCAACTCCTGCAGAGATTGTGAGTGCTGCAATGATGATCTAGAAAATTGTTGCTTAAAAGGGGCGGTTTTCACCTTTAATAATATTGATATGGATGGTACCATCACAAAAGGTGGATATTCCAGTTACATAGTTGTCCATGAAAGGTAAACTATTTCATATTTTTGTTCATGCTGATCGATTCTGTAATTGTTATGTGTTTGTGTTCTATACCCTGCAATTGCTTCTGAGCAACTGTTATTGTTTACTTACTGTTAGAAAAATAAAAAAGAAGCATAATTTTAAAAAAAAGTTTATTCCTTTCTTGAACCATACTGTATATACAATAACCTATATATATAAGTGTTTACAAAAAGAATATTTTAAGATATAAAATATAAAAAAAAATATTTTAAAATATAAAATATTTACAATAATTCTAAATATAATTATGTTCACATCTTAACACTTATCACTTCAGTTGTTCAAATAAACTGTCCATAATATATAATATTTGGTGTTGAATTAACAGGTTCTGCTACAAAATACCCGATGAATATCCTCTGGCTTCAGCAGCACCATTGCTTTGTGCTGGAATTACTGTTTATTCACCAATGGTACGCCATAACATGAACCAACCTGGCAAATCCCTAGGTGTTATCGGGCTTGGTGGTCTTGGTCACATGGCAGTGAAGTTTGGTAAGGCTTTCGGATTAAAAGTAACAGTTTTTAGCACGAGCATATCAAAGAAAGAGGAAGCCCTGAATCTACTCGGTGCAGACAACTTTGTTATCTCATCTGACCAAGAGCATATGAGGGTAAACAGTTTTACCATATGAAAATCTCATTTTCTCTTTGATCTTATAGTCAATATTAGCATTTATGTCTTTTAAGTATTTTGAACTTTCTGCAACCAATTTTCTGGGTGCAGATCCTAACAAAATCATTGGACTTCATAGTTGACACAGCATCTGGTGATCACCCCTTTGATCCTTACTTGCAACTACTGAAAATTGGTGGGATTTATACCCTTGTTGGATTTCCAAGTGAAATTAAATTTAGTCCTGCTAGCCTTAACAGAGGTACTTAATTTAACAACATTCTTATTGCAATTTGTCTCCATTAATATCTACATGCAAAATTAACAGTTTAAGTTGAACTTTTACCAGGTTTGAGAACGGTTTCAGGGAGTATTACAGGTGGTACAAAAATGACCCAAGAGATGATTGATTTCTGCGCTGCACATAAGATTTACCCAAAGATTGAAGTAATTCCGATTGAGTATGTAAATGAAGCTCTTGAGAGGCTAATAAAGAGGGATGTCAAATATCGGTTTGTGATTGACATTGAGAATTCCCTCAAATAAAATCCTGAAGGTGAACATTAAAATAATAATAATAATAATAATCTTCTTCTAGATTGCATGTTGTTTTTCATACTGTGTACTCCAGGAAAAAACATCATATTGGAAACTGCCACGTGTCCAAGTAGTCAATAAATGGTAAAGTCTTGTTATGTCGTCAAGTTTTTACGGCTGGTCTAGATTTGATTTATGTGTGGCTCAGGCCATGGTTGTTATGGTGGACAAGCTCCATATGGCAACGAGGGTGTTTAATTCTTCCAGTTAAGGAAAGAGATTGATTACCAACTGGTCTGAATTTTGATTGTGTGCGGGCCAGATCATGGTTGTCATGGAGACTATTATGTCCGTTACTTGCAAAACTAGAGGGGGGGAAGGCGTGAATGCCACAATGCCGAAGTACATGCTAGCAATAAAATCTTAATTATTATATTAAGATATTTGTATTATATATATGAAATATTTATTTATTATATATTAGTTATTATTTTTCTACTATATTAATATCAATAAAATCTTAAGATGTTTGCAACATCAAAATGTAATTGTGGCTATTGCTATTAATAAAAACCATACAATGGAATAATAATATTATTAAGCTATCTATTAATCATATATATCATTAAAATAGAATATCAGCAATATGAGGACTATCATATGCAATACTTTGTTAAGTATGAAGATTTTTCTTATGAAATCATATATCACATGTTGATAATTGAAAGTAATTGAGTGAACTAAACTAACTAGTTATAAAAACTCTAAATGCATGTGTTATTGGTAACTTTTCAAAGTAATTTTTTGATTTAAACTCATTATTATTCTAGGTAAAAACTTGAGTACTTTGATATTGTTAAAACCAATTGCTTTAAGGAGTTGCAAGTGGTACAATTATTGAGTGCATTATGAACCACATAAGAGTAATGGTCATGTTTAAAAAAAAATTAAGGAATAAAAGTCTTCTTCTTCTAGGTTTTCTACTTTAATTTGAAGTCTAAGTTTGGCAATTCCAATTAACTTAAAATAGAAAGCTTTTTTATTCCTTGCTAATATGAAGGGTTTGTTTGGTATGATGGTTAAAATTTAGCGGATAGAGGATTATGGGTAGTAGATAGTGGATAGTGGTAGTGGGCAGCGAGTGACGGTTAACAGATAACGGATGACAGATAACGGATAACAGAAAGTGAGTAGTGGATGGTAAATAGCGGATTCGATAAATATAATTATTTGACTATATAATAGTTAGCGGTTGTTGTTTAACATTAAATGATTAATAAGGACATGTTTAAAAATAAATAAGTGTATTTTTTAAATATTTTTATTT